TTAGGTTGAGGTTCATTTTTTGCCTGCAGATGTCCAAATGTTCCAGCACTACATATTGAAAAGATTATCCTTCCTATATTTAACTGATTTTGCAATTTACTCAAAAATCATTTGGCCATACTTGCATGGGTATATCCTGGGGTTATCTATTAATTTACATGATGTAATTATTGATATATTAGGGCTTAAGTCTGCCATTTTATTATTTATTATTTCTTCTTTGCTATTGTTGTTGTTGTTCTTCTGTTTTACTTTCCTAACCATTCTGTGGTTATTCAATACTTGAATATTTTTTTATATTCAAGTTTATATTATATATTCAATACTTGAATATTTTTTTATAATTCCATTTTGATTTATCTATATCTTGAGTGTATCTGTTTGAACAGTTTTTTTTGTTTTGTTTTGTTTTTAGAGAAAGAGAGAGCGAGGAGGGGAGGAGCAGAAGGAGAGGGAGAGAGAATCCCAAGCAGGCTCCACTCCCAGTGTGGAGCCCAATGGGGCTTGATCCCATAACACTTAGATCATGACCTGAACCAAAATCAAGAGTTGGACGCTTAACCAACTGAGCTACCCAGTCTCAAAGTGAGAAACGTTTATTCGTCTAAACCATGACAGTTACAACTCATCTAATTTAAAAATATCTCTTTCAATAGTTATTTCTTTTTCAAAACACCTATAGATTATATTATGCAAAATGGCCGTAGAGCAAGCATAGCAGTCACTTTTCTTATGATGTGATTTTGCACTCAATTATCATTTAAATTTTTTTCTTTGTAAAATAACTAAGCATGACATTAAAATGTGAAATAGAGAACTTTAAACTTCAAGCTAAAAAATCTACAGGAACTTTTTGATATTTTTCTCACTAATACACTTTCATCACAATTTGATCATATTTTTGCACATCTTCAATAGAATGCTTTTTCCAACTCACTCTGAAATATCTAAATTAGTGTTAAAACATCCCCAGGAGGGCACATAACTGATAATTTAATACTTTGAGACTTCATAGAAACCAGTTGCGGTCCAATGAGAATATTACTTTCTCATTGGCTGGTGGCTTCCCTGCAACACAGCCATAGAGTCTACACACCTGTTGGCAGAGCTACACACCAAAATTCTCAAGCCCAGTGTGGGAAGCTCGAGCACTTGCCCTTCCTCTTTGGGCCCTGGTTACTGCTCTGCTGTTGGTTGGACTCTGAGGATTGTCACGTCCTGTTAGATCAGTGAGCTTTGAATCTGTGACTATGCTTTCCTGTAACTGCCCCCAGTTTCTAAGAGTCACTTCTAAGTGGTCAGAGGTGAAAGAATCATTATCATGTCTCACATGTCTAGTGTATGTTCCAGTTTCTACACCTCTTAACCTACATTCTGTCTCTGGGTTTCATCAATCATGTGACATGTCCTTTGAGGAAGGAGGCTCTGGAAAGGAAGGCTAGCCCTTTTTTGTGCCCAGGACAGTGCTTGGTGTGACTAGACTCCCACACACTGACCCCAAACACCCAATAATCTATCCATCAAGTACAATGTATGGCAGAGAGCCCTAGACCACATCCCTGGTTGGCGCTCCTCACTTGTCATTAACGCAACTTGTATCACCCACTGTACTGTGTGTTGAAAATACAGTTGAAAGAAAATTGTCTGCCTTCAAATAAGCCATGCTCTGTTGGGAGAAATACATACATAAGACAATAATTATGATGCAGAGGCTAAGGACTGTGATGGGTAGAGTCTAAGCACAGAGTAGTTTTTAATGTAGGGTCTACCACTACACGTCATCTCACTCTTATGATTCATCGTTTCTTCACCCGTTAAGTTAAAATAAAACTGCCTTCTCTTACCTACCTCATGGGTTGTTGTGGGGGCAAAACTGTGGAATGGATGTGAAAGCACTTTGTAACTCTAAAGGGCGATGCTGCCGTGACTACAAGACATGTGGGGTGGCAGTGGGAGGGGGTGGTCTCATGATAGCTGTCCTGTGCTGGTCTCCTGGAAGTTTCACTGGGTGTGGGAATTTATCCAGATGTCTAGCGCTCAGAGCCAGTCCTTGCTCAGTTCACAACTTTGGAAACGTGAAAAGTAGGACAGAAGAAAGGAGAGCAGAGGAGCCTTGGCTACCCCTGGTCTTGTGCCTGCACAAGTGGAAACTCCCTCAATCCTGAAGGACTGGAAAGGAATCTCTTTAGGCAGGGCCAGTTCCAGCCCCTCTCTCTGCTGGTCTTCCACTTCAGTATCTCAGAACATGCTTCTTCTCTGGGTCTAACCTCCATTTCTCCTGCTTTCACATATGATCATTTCCATTTGGTTGGAGGAGAAAACAACTACAAGCTTTCTCTAACATCTCTTCATTCAACCTTTTTGAGAAGATGGGACATGGGGGAGGAGGTGATGTAAGAAATGTCCAACATGCTCACAGTCCACCCATTGACCCATAAATTGTCCATATTCCTTGTCATTCACAGCAGAGTTGCCCTGCTCACCTCTGTCAGCATGACTCATGCCTCCCCCTCTCTCATTCTGGTAGTGTTGCCCAGTGAGTGGGCAAGAACACAGATGCTCCAGCCACATGGCCTACACTTGACTCCTAGTTCTGTCCTCCCTGTTTGGTCTTGAGCAAGGTGACTGATGCTTTATGCCTCCATTTCCTCACCTGGGAAATGAGATAACCATAGTTCTTAGTCCACAAGATTATAAGTATTAAATGAGATAACCCATATTAAGATGGCATAAAGACTGGGGCGCCTGGGTGGCTCAGTCGTTGAGCGTCTGCCTTCAGCTCGGGTCATGATCCCAGGGTCCTGGGATCGAGCCCCGCATCGAGCTCCCTGCTCCGCGGGGGAACCTGCTTCTCCCTCTCCCACTCCCCCTGCTTGTGTTCCCTCTCTCACTTTCTCTCTCTGTCAATTAAATAAATAAGATCTCTTTTAAAAATGGCATAAAGACTACCCTG